ATTTTCTTAATGTCTTTCATTTTTTGTAAAGCACTTTGAATTGCCTTGTGTTGAAAGGTGCTATATATAGACCCTCCAGAAAAACGCGATTCTGCAATCACAGAATTTACCGCATAATCAGCAAAATGGCGCAGATTTTTAAAAGGCCGCATATTTATCAAAAGGCCGCATAATCCCCGCATTTTTCCACACAAAGTTGAGAAAAAAAAAAGTTAACTCGTCTTGACGTGACGCCATCAGCTCGCGCATCACAGAATGTAAACAACACTGTATAGAGTGAACGTGTGGAGCTCACACGATAGAGAAAACACCAAGATGAAAAAATCTAATCCATCTCATTTACCGACGAACATTTCTACTAAAGACCGGGCAAAAAGTGGGGGGAAACTATTCTGCACCCTGTGCAACTGTGTGTTGGAGCATAAGAGAAAATCGACGGTGACGACCCACTTTGATTCATTCAAACATTCTAAAATGCTTTCTGCTGCTGCGGACAAGAAAGCCAAACAACTCATGTTCACCAAGGCATCAACATCCAAAACCCTTTCGAGGGCTACAAGAAACGAAGTGAGTAGCCTACAAGATTGAAGCTGGTCAGATAACGAACGAGTAAATGAAAACAGAATGAGGCGGAGAAGTGTGTGTGTGTGTGTGTGTGTGAAATTAAAATAGCCCAATTGCTTTTACAATAAATAAACATTGAATGTGTTTAATTGAATAGTAAAGGGGTTTAACGTTAGTGGCAGGTTGTGTGTGAGAGAGAATAAATAAGGCATACCAATATTTTGAAATTGTTATTCTTTTTTCCCGCATATTTAGCATATTTCGCAACTTTCCGCATATTTCACAACTTCCCGCAATTTCACCGCATAAAATCACATAAAACCCCCGCATGTTTAATCGCATAATGAAGGATTTTAGCCCGCATAATCAAGGAATTTAGCCCGCATAATCAAGGATTTTTGCCCGCGTTTTTCTGGAGGGTTTCTTTTATCCTATTTCAATTCAGTAAGGCAAGGCAAGGCAGTCCCGTAGGGCCTGCATGCCCCGCAGGGCCTGCATGCCCCGTGATTGGGCCAGCATGCCCGGGAGGGCTGTATGGCCCCGTAGGGCCTGCATGCCCCGTAGGACCTTGCATTGTCCCGCAGGACCTGTATGTCCCGTAAGGGCTGTATGCCCCGTTGG